ACTTTTAGGTTGACTTTTTGGGAAAAGTTAAGACTCTAAATATAATTACATGTTATAGGGCATTATTCAGTGACGAGGTTTAACTAAGCAAAACTATTCAGGTGAATCGTCATGAGATTTTAACTGGGATGCATGTTTATGTACAAATTATTTGAGCATTGCGTTAGTCTTATGTACATGTTTATCGACTTGATACATGTATATGAATTATTATTATGGGTTGCATGCTATTTGTTTATGTGTTTTTAAACATTAATTAGGATGTTATAAAAGGGTTAATATTTTTGTCGGGTATGAGAATGGGTCAAAAGTCATAAGAATGACATATCCTAGGGATGAGTGATCAGACGAAGGATAGCTGTGTAACCCGGGGAAGTGTCAATGACGGTAAGACCTTAACTCGACGAGAATTTAAGAGATCTCATTATTATTTAAAAAGGGTTTGAAACAAATGTGTGTATTATTTTATTTGGGGTATTCTTTGTTTTATGGCTGTTGAGATATGTATGATTATGCACAAAAAACCATGAATTCACCGAGCTTTGTAAAGCTGACAATTAATATGCATATCAGGTGCAAGAAGTTCAAGAGTGGACAAATGACAAAGTTCTCGCCTAGAGAATTATATTATTGTTATATTTCAGATGTTTAGGTTTATGTTTAAACTCATTTTGTAATGTAACCCGGTATGGGACGGGTTAACATTGAATTATTAATTTTATATAATTTTTTTGTAAGACTTCCGCTGTAAGATGACTTTATTAGCCACTATATTTTGAGGTTATTTATTTTTATTAACGAGAATGACGTGACAAGACTAATAGTGAAAATGAAGGTGTTACAATTCTCTCTCATCATGCCAAATTCGACGAGTCTGTTTTCCCTTTCTCTCGCGTCTACCTTCAATACCACCACCCACTACTCCAACTCCTACTTGTGATGAATCCACACCCTTTCCTTTCCCAACCACCACTATATTTCCCGCCCCTCCGTTACTCACGTCTATAGTACCCAATAGCAACCCACTGCCCACACCCTCCACAACACCATAAACCACCCTACCTCATCACCTAAACCCACTCGCTCACCAATCCATCCCATCATTGTCTCCCCCAACTCGTCACTTATACACCCAACCATCCAACCCCCACACACACGATGACCACACGCTCTAAAGTCGGCACCTTAAAACCTCGCATTGTCCGAACCAAATTGGAAAGCCACCATGTGTGACGAATATACTGCGCTAATTAAAAATGGGACGTGGGAGTTAGTTCCACGTCCACACTATACTAACATTATTTGATCTATGTGGATTTTTAGTCACAAATTTAACTCTGAGGTTCATTTGAGCGGCATAAAGCCCGACTTTTTGGGGATGGCAGGTCTCAACAGGTTGGAATCGACAGTACGGAAACATTTATCCCCTGTTATATCAGAGAACTCAAAGAGGTATTAACACAAAGTGTTCACGTTAAAAATTCAATCAATAAGCATGGCTATATATAGCCTACAAAGGAACTAACAGAAAAGCATAAAAGCAGGGACCACAAGTCCAAAGGAAAAGTTGAAAAATAAACGTAAATTGATTCCTAAAAACTAGGTCAAAGACCTTTATTCTGCAAACTCAATTTTGACCATAATAATTCTTCCCCTTAAACTAAAAATGCTAAATAAGCATTTAGTTTATTCTTCACGTGTTTGAACTCCCAGCAGCCCTCTTAGTTTGACAAAAGTCTCCAACTTTATAAGTTTAGTCATGATATCTGCAACTTGTTCTTTAGTTCCACAAAAAACTAACTTCACCACTTCTTGACTTGTAAGATCACGCAGATAATGATATCTTGTATCGATGTGCTTCGTTCGCCTATGCATCACAGGATTCTTCGACAGCTTAATAGTGGAGCTGTTATCACAAAGAATTTCAGAGCATTCACTTTGTTTCTGATTGAGTTGCTCGAGTAGACCCTTTAGCCACACAGTGGCAAGCACATGAAGTTGCAGCCACATATTCCGCTTACGTAGATGACAACGCCATTGACTGCTTCCTTGAACTCCAACATATAGCTGCATCACTCAAAAGGAAAACATACCCAAAGGTGCTCCTTCTATCTTCAACATCTCTTGCATAATCACTGTCTGTGTAAGCCCTCAACCTTGTATCCACAGTCGTACCTTTCAGATATCTTAACACCCTTTTTGCTATCTCCATATGTTCCTCCCTTGGTTCAGCCATGAAACGAGACAGTAGGCAAACCACATACATCATGTCTGGTCGTGTGACTGTTAAATACATTAAGTTGCCTATTAACTGCTTATAGACAGTAGAGTTAACTTGATCACTCTTTCCATTCTTCACGAGAACAGTGCCTGGAACTATTGTATTTTTAACCGAGTTACAATTCCACATTCCAAATCTTTCCAAAACCTCCTTAGCATACTTCTTTTGACAAAGATGAATGCCTCTTTGATCTTGATGAACCTCTACTCCGAGAAAGAAYCTCATAATTCCCAAATCAGTCATTTCGAATTCTTGCTGCATTGATTTCTTGAATTCTTCACACAACAAAAAATCATTACCAGCATAAATCAAATCATCCACATATAGACTTACAATAATAAAGCTTTTTCCATCCCTTTTCGTGAACAAAGTGTGATCATAATTGCTCTTTTCAAACCCTTTATGCCTGAAGTAACCATCAATTCGACTAAAACAGGCTCTTGGAGCTTGCTTTAATCCATACAAGGCCTTGTAAAGTCGATAAACCTTATCTTCTTCCCCTTTCTTGACAAATCCTTGAGGTTGATTGACATAAATAGTCTCTTTCAGCTACCCATATAAAAACACACTTTTTATGTCCAATTGGTAGACATTCCACCCCTTCTGCCCAGCAATTGCTAGTAATGTTCGAATTGTATCCCACCTTGCTACGGGTGCAAAGACTTTACCGTAATTGACCACTTCCTTTTGAGCATACCCCTTCACAACTAGTCGCGCCTTGTATTTATCGACCTCATCATTTTCACTTAACTTCATCTTGAAACCCATTTCACCTCAATTTTCGTTGCACCGTCCGGTAGATGAACTAATTCCCAGGTTTTATTTCTTTCAATTGCCTGCACTTCATTTTTCATGGCATCTACCCATTTTCTTTCTTTAACAGCTTCTTCATATGTAACAGGATCATCATGAGCACTAAACATAACCAGGTCAGCCTCTTGATCAAAAAATTCTCCTCCACTTGCATAGTCTTGCATCCAAGTAGGTTCTTTTCTGGGTCTTCCTGTTGGTAGAGGTGTGTCTACCTCAGAATCTTCCGAATTTTCTGGTTGAGCTGTTGTCACTTCTTCTGTTTGCAGATCATCATTATCTCCTTGTGCAACATTTTGATCAGGTGCTTGCTCTTCTTCTGGATTTGTATCGCCTTCACTCTGATCAATAAGTTCAAGACTAGGACTTGAACCACTTTGGCTCCAGTCCCACTTTGCATCTTCATCAAAAATCACATCTCTGTTGATGACTAATTTTTTCTGAATTGGATCATATAGGCGGTAGGCTTTTGACTCTGTACTTACTCCAAGTAACACACATTTGTGATTTCGATCATCTGGCTTGGTTCTTAGTTGTTTGGGCACATTAATATGTTCCGTACAACCAAAAACTTTGAAATATTCAACACTTGGTTTAAAACCACTCCAACACTCTTCGGGAACTACTCCATCCAATGAAGTGGAACTACGATTCAACACATGGCATGTCCATATGGCAGCTTCCGGCCAAAAATACTTAGGCATTCCCTTTTCGGCTAAGAGGCATCGTACCATATTTATTATAGTACGATTCCTTCTCTCCGCCACTCCATTTTGTTGTGGAGTGTAGCCAGCAGTCAATTGCCTCTTAATCTCATGTGTTTCACAAAATTGGTTGAACTGAGTTGAGTTAAATTCCCCTCCCCTGTCACTTCTTAAACAACGGATATAATTTCCGGTTTCTTTTTCAACCATATTTTTAAAACTTTTAAACATATCAAAAGTCTCATTTTTTCAGAAAGGAAATATATCCATGTTTTTCGAGTATAGTCATCAACAAAAACAAGTAGGTACCTTTTTCCACTCTGTGATGCTGGTGAAATGGGACTGCACAAGTCAGTGTGAATTAACTCGAGTTTGTCTGCTGCACGCCACAGGCCCTTCTTCGGTATAGCCTCCCGATGTTGTTTGCCCAAATTACACACTTCACATACCTGGATTTGACCCTTTAATTGAGGTAATCCCGTTACTATTTGTTTGTAGTACATGGTTCTTATTGCCTTGGTGTTGAGCTTCCCATAACGTTTGTGCCATAAGTCGATTGACTCCCCCGCATCCACTTGTAAACACTTACTTGGCTGAGGCTTCATCACTGCTGAGATCATGAACATTCTGTTGGAAGTGATTGAAAATGTTATGATTTGCCCTCTTTGAGGATGGAAAACCTTGCACGCCCCCTTTTTAATCAAGAAAATTAAACCTTTTTTTTCTTGTAACTGCCCTACGCCGAGTAGGTTTGTCGTTAATTGGGGAACCAGAAACACATCAGTAATTGTATGTGTTAATCCTTCAATCTCCATCCTGATATTTCCCTTACCCAAAACATTCAATCGTGAACCGTTTCCAAGTCATACAGTATGGCTGAAACTATTATCAAGATCAACAAACCACTCCTTGTTACCTGTCAGGTGATTTGAGCAACCTGAGTCAAAGAACCATGAGCCCGTAACGTTGTCATTGTTGATCTCTGCTTCAGCCATTAAGAGAAGTTCTTCCTTTTCTTCAAAATCTGCTTCAGCCATTAGGAGCAGTTCTTCCTCTTCTTCAAAATCCACATAATTTGCCTTTTCGAAGGTGGGACATTCATATTGAAAATGCCCCAGCTTATGCCACTTGTAACACTCGATTATGGCTTTGTTGAAATCTGGTCTGGTTCTTCCTCGTCCTCTGCCCCTTCTTGAAGGACTACCTCAGCCTCGACCTCTGCCTCTGCCATAATTCGAATGAGACTCCACTTTAAGGACTTGTTCTTCACCGCCTCGTCTTTTCAACTTGTGTTCATGTACCCGTAAAGAACTCTGCAATTCATCGACCGTTAGTTGGTCGATGTCCTTTGATTCTTCAATAGAACAGACAACAAAATTAAATTTATCTGTGAGAGTTCTCAAGATCTTCTCTACAATCTTCACGTCATCCATTTCTTCACTACAGTTCCGCATATCATTGGACACAATCATTACCCGTCCAAAATAATCGGTCACCGATTCCCCCGTCTTCATTTCCAAGGTCTCGAACTCTCTTCGAAGGTGTTGTAATTGAGCCCATTTCACCCGTGCATTACCTTGGTACTTGACTTTCATCGAATCCCATAACTGTTTTGCTGTAGCTTTCTGAACAATCGTCTTCAGGATGGACTTATCAATGGCCTGAAACAAGTAATTCCTTGCTTTTAGGTCTTTGAGTTTTGCATCATCCAGAAACTTACGCTGAGCTGCAGTAGTTTGTTCCTCTTCTCGTAGTTCCCTGTAACCTTCTTCAACTACGGTCCAATATTCTTTGGATCGTAACAGATTCTCCATCAACAGCTTCCAATGATCATAGTCACCATCAAACTTAGGCACACAGGGAGTTTGAAAGCTGCTTGAGTCTTCTGTCATCTCGTACACACTCGTGTTTCACTCACACTCGTGTTTCACTCACTGAACGCTCACTTGCGTAGGCACACACAACTCTCTTACAGTGGCTCTGATACCACTTGTTATATCAGAGAACTCAAAGAGGTATTAACACAAAGTGTTCACGTTAAAAATTCAATCAATAAGCATGGCTATATATGTAACGCCCCCAGAACCCCATAGCAATGATATTGTCCGCTTTGACTAACCTGCCCGCTAAACCACAAAGCAGTAGCCGCACGGTTTTGTTTCTGGCAGCCGCACAACGCAAGCCCCAAAACGCGTCATACTAGGTTGAGGTATCCACACCCTTATAAGGAGTGTTTAGTTCTCCTCACCAACCGATGTGGGACGGGTTGTTACAATATATAGCCTACAAAGGAACTAACAGAAAAGCATAAAAGCAGGGACTACAAGTCCAAAGGAAAAATTAAAAAATAAACGTAAACTGATTCCTAAAAACTAGGTCAAAGACCTTTTATTCTGCAAACTCAATTTTGACCATAATAGCCCCGTTGTTAAACTGAAAACAATTTGTTTCGTGCTAAGCATTGCCTTATTGAAATCATGGTTGATTCATCAACTTGATGTGAAAAGCGCGTTTTTGCATGGCATTTTGAACGAAACAATCTACATGCATCAACTAATGGGGTTTCGAGATCCGAATTACCCGGATCATGTATGTCTTCTAAAGCAATCTCTATACGGCTTTAAACAGGCTCCCCGGGATCGAGATCCGAATTACCCGGATCATGTATGTCTTCTAAAGCGATCTCTATAAGGCTTTAAACAGGCTCCCCGGGCATGGTACCAATGATTTGCAGATTATGTTTCCACTCTTGGGTTCTCTCATAGCAAGTGTAATCATTCTTTTTTTATCTATCGTCACGGACATGACTATGCCTATCTTCTCCTATGTGTCGAGGATATCATACTCACTACCTCTAGCGACAAATTGCACTCCACCATCATGCGTTCTTTCAGTTCTGAGTTTGCCACGAAAGATCTCGGGCCTCTTAGACACATCATAAGGACATGATATTTCTCTCTCAACGCAAATAGACCAAGGAAATCATTGAATGGGTTCGAATGTCAGCATGTTCCCCGTGCGGCACACCTGTTGACACCAAGGCCAAAATCAGCGCCAAATATGGCGAACCGTGTGATGATCCCACTCACTATCGTAATCTAACCGGTGCCTTATAATACCTTACATTCTCTCAGACGAATATCTCCCATGCAGTGCAACAAGTTTGTTTGCACATGCACGATCAACAAGATAGTCATATGCGTGCATTGAAAAGGATAATTTGATATATTTAAGGAACACTACATCTGGGCTTGCATTTATATAAATCCTCCCTTAATTCTTTGGTTTCATACACTAACGCTGACTGGGGCGGATGTCCCGACACGCGACGCTCGACTTCCATATATTGCCTTTTTTTTGGGACAACTTACTGTCATGGTCATCTAACGACAACCACCTTATCACTATCAAGCGCGAAAGCAGAATATAGAGGTGTAGCTAATGTGGTTTCCGAGTCGTGTTGGCTTAGCAATCTCCTTTTGGAACTGAATTGCCCTATCCACAAAGCTACATTAGTCTATTGTGATAATGTCAGTGCCATATACTTATCCAGAAATCCTGTCCAACATCAGAGAACCAAACACATCGAAATGGACATTCATTTTGTACGAGAAAAAGCTCAATAGGTGAAGTACGAGTGCTACATGTTCCTTCACGATATCAACTAGCAGATATCTTCATCAAAAGGACTTCTAAGCGTCCTCTTTGATGAATTCAGAGACAGTCTCAGCGTACGAAAATCTCCCGCTTTAACTAAGGGGGTCTGATAGCAATATTATATATATAGAATGTGTATATTCTTTTCCTAGAATAGATGATTATCGTTTCCTAGATTATCGATGTGTCTCTTGTATATATTGCTTGTACCCTTTATTGTGAATGCAAGGAAAAGGATATTGATCCATAATCTTACACTTTTTCTGCCTTTTCTTTCAGGTTTCGTTATTCACTTGTTCACACCGTCACACATTGAGAACTCACGACTCACTCAACTCTTCAACTCCACCAATCTTAGAGGTATTCTATTATTCGTTTATTCTACATTTCTACTAATAACTAATCTATTGTTCTTAGGACTTTTGTTATATATTAATTTATATTTTATATAGTTCTTTACACAGTTAATTTTAATTGAATTTACCTGTAATGTTATTACGTGGGGATAATTTTGTAACTTCTACGGTTAGTTTATTAATGTCTTTAAATTCTTTTCTTGATTGTTTGAAGATGGAAAGACTTCTAAAAAGAAAAATATCAAGTTTTGCATCTGGATCTGATCGCGTAGAACCCTCAGGTGGAAATACCCCAGCAAATCCATTTAAATGATCTTCCTTCAAAAAGACCAATTTTTTTTGACTTATCATCCTAATCAAAAGAGATGAAACAAGACACTTATATCTATTTAGACTGCCTTGTCAACCACGAGGTCATGAGTTTCCAACAACTTTGATAGGAGACAAGTTAAGACATTTTATCGCTCACTGGTTCGATGAATTTCGATGGTGAGAGTATAATGTAAAAGTGGACAAAGTATATTGTCCCTCATTGGTTTTAGGAAGTTGAGTGAGTTTTATCCATATGATTTTACTCGTATGAAAATAATAAAACTTGGGCATCAACTTGATACGTATCATGTCGTGCATCGAGATGGAAATTTCTCAACTTGAATGGTATTGACGACCTTTCTAGATTGATGATTTCATCCATGAAACTTGTGAAGTCGAATATGCGGAATTGAATGGGGGACAATTTTTTGAATGATTCTGTCAGTTTTTCTGCAGAAAAATAAGCATTTGCCTTGGTTACGAACAAAGATGTATTCAACCGCTTCCAAACGATGTAGTCTCATAGGGAACAGTTGTAGGCGACAGTTTGTATCTCTTTTTTTTTCTTCTGATGACACTGTATTTTTTGCTAAATATTTGTTTGGTATATATTATTATAGAAATTAATTCGTGACACTATACCAAAAAAAAATTGGATCCGCCTCTGGGATGTACAGACGACTTGCTTTGCCACCTAGGTCATGCCAAAGGTCGTATGCATCTTTAGTTTAGTATCACATTTGATGGATTATAGTACTACATCAAAACACCCTTATCACATATATTAATATACAGGAGAAGACATGGTGGTGTACAAGCGATTAGGTCTGCAACTTAGGTCACGCCAAATGTTGTTTGCATCTCTAATTTAGTATCACATGTAATGAAATATAATATCACATGTGATTAACTATAGCAAAAAGGTATTACCGGATTCTCGTAAAATGAAGTTGTTTTCGTTATATATATATATATACATATATAGACTTGGGATCATGTGAATATATATATATATATATATATATACACACACACATACACACACATATAGACTTGGGATCATGTGAGACCAAAAGTTTTCCGTGAGACCCGTAAGATCAATTCTCAACTCTTGGATTAGATCTACAATATGAACATTCATAATCACGAAATTGCCACGAGACTTCTCAATAATCACAAAATTGCTACCCAACTTTAGACCATTAGATCATTAGCTTATAAAGTTGATCAATGAACATAAA